GAGAGAGAGAGAGAGAGAGAGAGAGAGAGAGAGAGAGAGGTTAGATAGTTATAGGTGAGCGATAATCAAGTCATGTCTGGTAAACTTCGAAATTGCAAAACGTAATTCAATTTAAAATCCGCTATAATGATCTAGTCAATTACGGCGGATGCTAATAAGCATAATGATAAGACGTGCTTTCACCAACAAGAAGCCATCATGATTCTTTTATAAGATATTAGTTGAGCATGACGGCGAAACGTGAGCGCTTCCACGGTGACTCTCTCTCATCATAACTCACATATGCCACCGGTCCACGGCGATACGTATGGAGGGGGGGGGACTGTCGGCAGATATTTCGTTCGGCCAATTAGTCGATTAGGGAATAAATCTTTCAGTAATTGTCAGCTGAAAATCTACATGGGGGAGATTTTTCACGCGTTATACTTATTTTCGCGAGAGATTGCCGGATGTCGCGCGCCAACAAGGGCACGTTATGCCGCCATCTACCGGTTACAATAGCAGTGAAAATTTGCGTTCTTTGGTAGCGTATCCGCGTGTTCGAATTACGCTAAAAACATCATCAAAAATGCTTAATTACACGCAGATTTTTGATATATTTATTAATTTATTTGTTCGTACCTGCGGTGAATATTGTGCTTTTTTAACTTCACATTGTTACTGATTGTTATTTGTTTATTTTCTTCCGCCAGAGAGCCGATCTGCGGGTGAGAGAGCTCTCCACAGAGGCCTGCTCTACGACGCCGGTGCTGCCACGCTGTGGCGACTACTCGAATCACGCAACCTGGACGTGTTGAGCAGCGTGCGCCGACTGCGGTCGCTCATTCCACAACACACAGCCCACGATAACGCGACGACGACGACGACGTCGCCACCCGCCAACGACAGCGACCGGCTCGCCGCCTGGCGGCACAACATGGCATTCTACCTCTCGCTCGTACTCTCTCTCGAGCGACACGCCGCCGACGCCCTCTCGCGGAGCGCCGACGACGCCGTCGCCGCTGCCAACGTCGCCGTCGCCGTCGCTGCCGTCGTGATGTGCGCCGTCAGCGCCCTCTGTCCGTTCATCGTCGTCTGGTACGTCGTGCAGGTGAACCGACTCAGCATCGGAATTAAGAACTACGCGGAGTACCTGCACTGGCAGACGCGCGAACTGCGGCTGGAGAGCGAGAAGACGGACGTGCTGCTCGCACAGATGCTGCCAAAGGACGTCGCTAAGGAGCTGAAACAAGGTCGCATGGTGCCGCCAGAGGCGTACGACTCCGTCACGATCTTCTTCAGCGACATCGTCGGTTTTACGTCGATATCGGCTGCGAGCAAGCCGCTACAGGTATGTGTGTGTGTGTGTGTGTGTGTGTGTGTG